AATCAATGGAGTTGCAGAAACAAGTATCTACAATAAAAAATATACAAATCAAGTATTTGAACAATTTTAGCCTCAAAAATCATAATTGTTTTTTTTTTTTAATAACTTGGGAAGTTTTGAAGTAGAATGTTCATATTAGAGCCAATGGACGTTGACATCAAATATGTACAACATACATATCTATGAAGTTTCAAGAGTGTACCCACCAAATTAAGAAAAAAAAATGGAGCATGCAGAATTTCTGTCGCAGGTAGTTCGTAATTTTTGAAATTTTAAGATCTTTTTAACTTTAGTAATTTAATTCTTGCCAAAACGAACGAATCTAGTGATATAAAACTAGTGTGCCACCAAATTAAAAAAAAATGCATTGAGTAAAAGATGACTATGCTTGGAGAAACTAAGATTCCACTTTTAGTTACAATTTTATTGGAATACTCGAAATTCATTCTAAAATTATTATACACATGAAGAAAGTAATTTATGCATATGTGCATAATCTGTAAAAAACTTCCACGCCAATATTTAATTACTTATAAATTACATACACTGCCGGAACAAAGTATTGGCACCTCAAATTTTTCACAATATATGTATGCAACAGTTTTTATTCTAATACCATATTTATATACAAAATTGGCGGAAAAATATTATAATAAAAATTGTTGCATATATCGTGAAAAACTTGCTGTTCCAATACTTTGTTCCGGCAGTGTATATAACTTTTAAGTTAAGGCGTGCGAATAAACTTGGTAGTTGTGTGTGTGTGGTGCTATACTTTAGTGTTTATATGTAAATAAAACTCTTTTGACCCCACATTTAGTTATGAAATTGTCCTTTTGACAGTGGCCCCTATTATGATTTGCATTCGATTTTCGACTGTGGTCGAAAGTGCTGAGCGAACGAATTTGCATTTGGTATTATGGCACTCATTCGATGAAGAATAGCGCTATTGTGAATTTCGCTCGTTTAGGTTGTTCACAATAGTATATTTTTCACCGCTGAGAAGCTTTGTTTACAAATCGAGCAAACTAAATAGTGTGCTTATACATATTTATGTAAATTTGTTCTAATTAAAATGAAGTAAAAAAGAAAGCAAGTTTATAAAAACGTGGTAAAATGAGTACAACGAGTTCTGGTTCAACGATTCGTCAGAGGATGAGAGCTTAGTAAACTGGCCAGGAGTAGCAAATGTTTAAGAGAGTTTAAGTTTATTAGTCTTTCGAATATATTTTGATATAAAATATATTTAAGAAATTTGTCTACAGATTCATTAAAAAGTTCCGACCATCTAAAGAGGCGTTTGTGAGCCAAATCTATTTAAAATATTTTAAAACTATCAACAGCGCTACGATTTTGTTCTCAGAGATCGTGCCAACAGAGTATTGGGATTTTCTTTCACAAGTAAAACCAGCCTTTCGAGCTTGTGTTTAGTATTCAAGATGTTAGAACTGCATGAAATTAATAAAAATTGTTTAAAATTAATGTCTAGCCGCCAAAATGTAAGAAAACATATACAAAATCATACATTTTTCACAATTTTCTAACACTTCGCTACACCATCGAAACCAAAATTCTGTTCGACAGAAAATTCGATACTCAACGAAAATTTCGACACGCTTGCATAGCTCATAATACGAATTCCACTTTCGATCTTCGATCTTCGATAGCCAGCGAAGATCGAAAATCGAATGCAGCTCATAATAAGGGCCAGTTTTTCAATATCATGAATGCCACTATTATTATTTGATTTTCTAGTAATTTCAAAAAATGTTAACCATAAGTGCACACAACTATTTTAATGCTCGCAGCTGTAAATACAATTTAGCGATGGATTCTTGGTGTTTACACAAAATGGAAGAGAATGCATTAGACTCTAAAAAAAATTGTGTAGATTTCCTACCTAAAATTTCTGATTTCCTACCTTATTATTCGCGAAATTACATGCTCAATTATACAAAGAATAGTTTGTTTAAATTTCGGACGTTTTAGAGTGTAATATAGCTGCTGTGGTGGGCGTAAATCTACTAAGAAAGTGTGTACAAGCTACAAAATACACATCTGCTGTTTGATTTCACCCTTAGAATTGTGTAAAGCCACTAACAAAAAGGATTTTTACACACGAAAATGTGCAAACGAGAAAAATACATATTCATCGTGTAAACTTACCAAAAAAATTTAAAAATAAACAAAAATATACTCGATTTATAGTCGCATTTTTAAACAGATTTTTTAGAGTGTATCTAAAAAAAAAACGATTTTGTCGAAAAATGGAACAAATCGTGAGATTCCTTCATATGCGCTGCCGAATCGGCTGTCTGCCTAAAAGGCCCATAATATCATCGGTAAAGATATGGATAGAGAAGATAAAGGTTTATTAAATGATGTCGGGAAGTGTTGGCGCCAAATTATTATCTAGTAAAAACCAGCCTTAAAAGTCTCTGCTATAAATGACGACAGTTAAGTTGTGTTTCTTTTTCGACATATCATAACTGTATTTCTTCAATAGTCATAATCATTTTCTTTTAGTTTTATTAATTTTTTATTTTTTTGTTTGTTTATTTGTTTGGAATTTATTCTTTGTTTATGATCATATATATTTACTACAATAAAACATGCAATGATAATAATTTAAGCGTATGTTAATATGTATGTATATGTATGTAAGTGTATGTGTGTGACTACATGTAATTAAATACAATGTATGCTTGTTTATAATTAGCTTCAATTTTTCGTATTGCACTTTGAGTGTGAATTTTTTTTTTAAATTTAATAAACTTCAGCAAATTTACGTTTGTATGCACGAGTATGTATTTAAGTAGTAGCATCAAGGCAGCCAATTTATAGTTTTGCGGAAATTAATTTCAATTCAAAAATTATGTATTTTCATAATTATTTTAAATATTTTCGTCTCTGTTGCTTTCATAGACATAAACTACTTTTTTCGGTTTATTGCATTTGCCTCAACATTTTTAGGGCATTTGAGAGTTGCTTTTGAAGAGTTTTATTTTGTAACAAATGTTATTGAAGTTGAATTTCAGCGAGTTGTGAATCATAGATTTTATTTATTTTCTTTTTAGTAAAAAAGTGTCATTTGCGGCTAATACTTTCATTTACATAGATAGTGACATCTTATGTCAGCTGTGTTCTTTTTTAAATGTTTTTTTTTTGTTGTGTGTTTTGCTATGTGTTGTGTTGAATAGAGTTGTGTTGTTTGTGTATTTGTATAAATAAATTACAACTAAATTATTTAATATTCATATATAATATTTCTTAATATTTTTTTTTTTTGTAAAAAGTGTAGCTTCTTTTGTGTTATTGTTATGGTATTGTTGTACAAGTTCAGAATTTGTTTATAGTTGTTTTTTTTCTTTTTATTTTGTTTATATATCTTTTTTAACAGCATTTCTAACTGTAATCGTTATGATAATAATATTGATAATTGTTGTATTTTTGGTAGTTACACCGGCCCACACGACTTTGCACCGATGAAAAAATCAAGCATTTTAACAAACGTTCTGCTGAGTCGGTCAATATAATAATTTTTCCTTGTAATATGGCGAATGGATTTAAAAAAAATCAGATTTTTATGAAATTTTATATCCAAAAATTCGTTGAGTGGCTGATTACAAAGCTGAAACCATTTTTCAAAAGTTCAAAAAAAAATCTAAAAAATATTCCAGATTTTTATTAAATTTGATATTATAAGGTTTTTTGAGTCGCTGATCACAAAACTGACATCAGTTTTCAAAAATTCAAATGCAATGTGGCGAATGGATTAAAAAAAATCAGACATTTATGAAATTTTATATCCAAAGATTCGTTGAGTGGCTGATTACAAAGCTGAAACCATTTTTCTAAAGTAAACAAAAAAAATTTTTAATTTTCAAATTTTTTCGAAATTTGATATCATAAGGTTCTTTGGATTTCGGAATGGAGTTTAAAAATATCAGATATTTGAGAAATTTTATATACGTAGGTTCCTTGAGTTGCTGATAACAAAACTGAAATCAGTGTTAAAAAATTTAAAATGGCAATTTCATGAAACTTGATAGCCAAAAGTTCTTAGAGTCGCTTATTATAAAACAGAAATCAGTTTTCAAAAATTTTATTTTCAAAAATTGTTTTTAGATTCATAGTCAGCAACCCCAAAAACCCGTGTATACGAAGCTTAGTAAAAATTAAAAAATCGCGACGCAATATTTTATTGACCGATTCAGCGAAAGTGGTTAATGACTCGATCTATAAAAACAACAGTTACGGGAACTTTTTTGGCCTTCACTTTCTGAAAATGCTTGATTTTTTTATGAGTGCAAAAAAAAATTGAATTTTGTCGGACGGTGTTATAAATGATGTTACATAGTAATGTTCTAATGTGTTTGCTTTTTTTTAGTTTCATTTGGAATTTCTTCTGTTTTTTATTTGGTTCCTTATGCAAATGTTGGCTTACAACTTTCATTACAGTTAAATACCTTTAGTCATACATATTATTCATTTGGAATACACAATTAACGAACAGCTTCTCCACTATTTCAACATTTTCTACTTTAATCGCATTCAATTCAATACAATTTTCCAATACAGCTTTTGCAGTGGCTTTTTCATGAATTCTTTTTTTTTAAACCATTCTTTTTCAAAAAACATTAATTAGTATTTTCTTAGTTACCATTGTCTCAGCTGATAACAGTTTTTATTTACGGCAATTGTTTTACAAATTTTAAACTCACTTCAACAGCTTTAATTACTGGTTTAATTAAAAAATTTATTCAGCACATTTACATACAATACAGCAAACAATGTGTATTTATTTGGTAATTGATTTTCAAAACTTTAAAACCGAGACAACCAAAAAATTCTTAAATCATCATGACAACGCAAGTCAATAGCATTCATTTATGCATTTATATGTTTTACTGCATTACTTATTTTTACTTTAAATAGTTTTACATTTAGTTATTAATTCATTTATTTTTAGTAATTTTTATAAGTATATTTGTGTCTACATGTGTCTATATATTTATGTATGTATGTATGTGTGGGGGTTAGGGATGTGTGCATATGTGTATGTATATTTAACAATTACAATTCGCATTGGGCGTGCCTTGAGGTTGATCTGTCAGTCGTTGTCCCTTTTGCCCAGCACCCACTAACGTAGGATCCGAGTCTAAACTCTCCGACATTTTGTCGCAAATTATATCGACCAGTCGCTCAAAAACAGCCTGCAAGCAACAAATATTTACACTCATCTTTTTATTATTACTCCTCATCTACTTAAATGAAATTCACTTCACTTACCTTAACATTGACATTCTCTTTGGCTGACGTTTCAAAGAACTCAACACCCAGCTGATCGGCCAGCTGTCGGCCCCGCTCGAATGAGATCACACGCTGATCCTCCATGTCGCATTTGTTGCCGACAAGTATCACTTGTGCGTTGTCCCAGGAGTATGTCTTGATTTGAGTTACCCTGCGAGTGTGGAAAGATGTTTAAATTAAAGTGAAAATCTAGAATGACCCGTTGGCGATGTAATTAAAATACTCAAAATTATATATTTCATTAAACGTCTGGCAGGGCGAAATATAAATGCATGCCGTTGGATGGATATTAAATGTTAGATGCTCTCCTCTCACCAGCGCACAATGCTACAAAACTGGAATTTACTGTTGAGAATAGTTCACCGCCCAAATTTTTCAACCGTTTTGGTTATTTGTTTTTTGAAAGCTAATAAAATTTAGAAGAGACCATTTTAGAATGATCCTTGAATTTTTATTTGTTAGTTAATATTTATAAAATTTTTTACGAAAAAAATTTGCAGGACAAATTTTAAATAGAAAAAAAAATATTATCAAAATTTAATTTTTTTGGGAATTTTTAGAAAAATTTTAGGAATGCAGTTGTATAGCCCATTTATCATAAAATCTCGTCAAAAATTAATTAGCTTTTATTAAACAAAATAGTAATAGTAAATTCCAGTTTTGGACCGCAGTGCAGTGCGTGTAGGTGAATCAAACAAAGCCACCTATTTGCTAAAGATTTTCGCGCGCCACTGCTTATTTTTCTCACCGAAATATCTAGAAAACATCTAAAACGGTCTCCCAAAGCAAAACCATAATTACATCGACAAATTGCCGAAAAAATACCTCAAAAAGTTCAAAAGGATCTCCTCAATTAAAACCCGAAGTATCGCGAAAAGCTGGAGGTGATCGCTGCTTGTAAGTCGGTTACACCTAAGCCGTCATAAACTCTGCTCAGATAACATTTAAATATAATTTGTGGATCAACACATCAGAGAAGTTAAGCTAACTGAACGACCACTGAATAAGAACCAATTTACCTATCAACCAGGCAAATCCACTGAGACTGGCATTCACAGCCTTACGCCGAAAATCGAAAAGGCTCTGGCTTTTTGTGCCTTCAATAACATTTCAGGGGTTTTTGACAACACTGCATACAGAGCAATAAGAGATGCCCTGATATGCAAGGAGGAAACACCATCATAATCAATTGGGTGCTTTGTATGCTAAAAACAAGGAAGATCAGGATGGATCTTGAAGGCACGAAAGAATCTATTACAGCCATACGAGGTTGCCCTCAAGGGGGTGTACTCTCTCCTCCCTCTTCTGTGGACTATGGTTATAGACGAACTCCTCTTCCTACTGAACGATCATGACTTCGAAACACCAGGCTATGCAGACGATCTGGTGGTTTGTGTAAGAGGTCTGCATGCCGAAAACGATTTCCAATCGCAAGCAACGCAGGGCTTGTTGCAAGATGGTGTGACACCAAAGGATTATCAATTAATCCTAATAAATCAATTCTGGTTCTGTTTATCAGGAGAAAAAAGTTATCCATGACAGAATTTACTCTGAGCGGCACTAGAATAGGGCTGTCAAATGAAGCAAAATACCTGGAGGTGTGGCTGGATAAGGCACTCACCTGGAATGTACATTTGGATGCAACCGTAAACAAGGCAATGAGAACCTTCTTCGCATGCACGCGACTTTATGGGAAGACATGGGGACTCTCCCCTAAAATGACCTACTGGTCATACAACACAGTTGTGCAGCCGATAGTCACCTACGCATCATTGGCATGGTGGACAAAAGCGACACAAAGAACTGCTAGCGCAAAACTAAGCAAACCGCACTGAATGGTATGCATTGGTGTAACAGGGGCTATGCGGACCTGTCCTGCTGATGCACTTAGTGCTCTTCTAGGTATACCACCCTTTCCAATTCTAATAGAGGGAAGCAGCCATGACAGGTCATAAAAAGGTCCTAATGAAATTTACAAATTACCCTATAATACACATGAGGGATACAGTGGCTCCAATGCTAGTCATTTCTTGGAATTTCAAGTGACCAAGCACCCAAGAGCACAAAAAAATCCTACACCAAAGCCGGAGCTGAAGTTTGGTACACTGACGGATCAAAACTTGATGATGGAAAAACTGGAGCTAGTATATTTGGGCCTAATTTAAAAAAGATCGATACCAATAGGCAGCTACCCCACCGTTTTCCAAGCAGAAATTCATGCGATCGAGATTTGTAGCAGAGCCTCTAAAAACATCTGCATTATGTCGGACAGTCAGGCTGCTTTGCTAGCGCCTAGATCCGACATAATAACATCAAAACTAGTGTATGACTGCCTCAACACCCTAAACGCTCTTGGAATCGAGAACACAGAATTGCTGGGCTGTGTGCCGGGGCATGAGGGCCACGACGGTAATGAACAGGTGGACCGCATAGGAAAATACGGAGCTACCACAATATTCCATGGCCCGGAACCGTTTTGCGGGCTCCCCAAAGCCCACTTAAGGGAGGTCATAAACAAGTGGGTAGAAAAAAAACTCGATAGACACTGGAGTGAATGTCCAGGGCAAAGACAAGCTAAGCGGTTAATCTGTTCATCACAAGAAGTTTCAAAAAAGCTCATAAATCTAGGCGGGGAGGATCTTCGGACTCTCGCTGGGTAGTTCACGGGATATTGTTCCCTGCGTTATCACCTCAGTAAAATGAATCTTTCTGGCAGGAGCTTCTGTCGCTACTGTTAGATGGGCGAATAAACGCCAGAACACATCCCTTGTCAATGTATTGCTCACGCTAGGTGCAGACTCGCTCACCTAGGTGGTACAACACTTAATCCATTCGAAATAGGGAACAAAAAGGCCGTGGAAGTGCTAGCCTATATTAAAAGCCTTCACCTATAGGGTAAAGGGTCACGCAAAATAGACCACCCTAGAGGTCGCAATGCTCAAGGCTCATAATAATATTAATAAAAACTAATCATTCATAAAAATAAATTTTTAGAAAAAAATGTGCTACAACAAAACCTTTTCCAGTGCTGTCGGAATTTTCTGCCTAGATACTGTGGTATTTTTTCTTATATATTTCAGCCAATATCTAGCAACTCAACTTTTCCTGTACCAACTTGCGAGGCATCGTTTTCAATACTTTGTAAATTGAATGAAATATTGTGCGTGTCTTCTACGAAGCAATTACATTCCCCCATTTTGACTTTAACTTCCATACAAAATACATATATGTATCCACTGAATGTTTTCTCCCCTCCATCATTTTATACACCTCTTTGCATTTAAATTGCAATTTCTCATTTGCAAATATTTATCTTTCGTTTCCCCCTACTTTGCGCCATTTTACTTACCAATCCTGCACAGAATTGAAACTATCCTCATTTGTGACATCATACATTAGAATGAAACCCATGGCGCCACGATAATATGCTGTAGTTATTGTTCTATAACGTTCCTGACCCGCTGTATCCTGTAAACGATAAAAGAAAAACAAAAACAGAAACAAAATTAATTGCATCCTAATAAATGTCGGTACATTAACACTTTTATTGGCGACAAATTGCACTTTTTTGTAATCATTTACGTGTAACTATAAAAATGCAACAAAAATATAGGTTTTCCATGAATTTTGCACGCTCATATGTAGGCCACCACGATAATGACGTAAAGGCTGGTGATAACGACTTCACACCTCTTGTGCCTAAATGACCGGTTAAATTTATCTAAATACATCGGATTATTCATTCAATTTCATCAAGGCAAGGTCAGAGGTTTTATCATTAGTTTTTGACGATGAAAAGATTTACTGATAAATTCGGTTAAAAGCAATCGATCATTTAAGCACAAGAGAAGACTGAACGAAGATGAAGTGACTCATGACATTTTCAATATAAACGCCTCATCTATGAACATACAGTGGCGGTCAAAAATGGATAAATGGTGTTTCGTTTTTAATATTTACAATATTATTCAAGCTAAATTTTTTTAAATATTTTTTATAAAAATATGGTTCATTCATGGTGATTTTTAATCATTTTTTTTGCTGACCGCTTTTCGGTTTTTTTCATATAAAAAGCGAAATTTAGGAAAACTGGCGTTGACTTTTTTATTTTTATCGCAAAAGATATTGCGCATATTTTTCCACATAAAACTCATGTTTATATGGAAAAAAGTGCAAAACGCTGTCAACAATAAAAATTATTAAAAATCAATGTTTTAGCTCGAAAAACATTAAAAATATCAAAAACGAAACACCATTCATCCATTTTTACCCACCACTGTATATACATGGCATGTAACAATGTACATATAATATAAATAGATACGAATATGCGTATTATTCTTAGAATCAATAATGTAATAATTTCTGAAAAATATTATCGCAGAGAAATCAAATTTTAATAAAAAAAGAGAAGCAAGTATTTTAAATAGCTAGGAGGGTATATAATAGGAATATTAACTTTTTCGTGCGGAGGACGGATGGTATTGAAAATGGCCAAAATCGGGCAATAACCACGCCTACCTCACATATAACGGTAATTTAGAGAAATACGGAATCTTCGATAAATCAGTAAATATTAAAGACAATTTATTCCAAAGTAATGATTGCAACAATTCTTTAGCAAGAAATACGTTTATGATAAAATTTTGGAAAATGGGCGTGGCACTGCCCACTTATGATCACATATATGTATCTCGGTAACCGTTTTACCAATTTGTACCAAACTCGGTATGGTTATTGTGCTTGGCCACATAAAACCAAAACGTTGAAAATTATTGACGTCGGACTAAAATTACGGCCGCTTTTCATATAACGGTAAATTTCAGAAATGCTTCAAACTGCAATATTTCGAAATTTAAGGACGCTAATTTACTCAAAATTGATACTCCCTGTCTTACCATGTAGAGCAGTAGCTTTCGGAAAGGTGAAAAACGTATATTTAATACTTGCACGGGTATTTAATGTTCGGCTCCGTCCGAACTTAGACTCTCTTACTTGTTTAACAGTGCGAAAATTCATAATATGACTTTGATGGTACTTTTCGAACCCCCTTAATATATTGTTTAGGCGTTTAAAGTTTACGAAATACAGCATCCATATATCCATATATTAAAGCATCCACAATATCAAAAGAACCGATTTTCAGTTAATCATACGTTGGTAATCCATCTATATATATGTAATACGCGAATGGATTTTTTGTTCAGGATAAATGTTCTGTACCGTTCGCGAGATTTTCAAAAGTGAGATGCAAATTAAAGCGCTTGGACTGTAGATGTGCAAACTGGTTTTAGTTTTTCGAAAAGAGTTGCCACCTGTTGAAAAATTAAAATCAAGATATTGAATAATCAATGCCATCAAATCCGCACCGTTCGTTCGAATTTTCAAAATGAGGCATCAAACTAAAATCCTTAAACTGCAGATAAGCAATAACATTTTACTCCTTTGAAAAGAGTTGCCACCTTTTATAAAATTATATTCAAATTATTTAAACAAATAAATCAATTACTACAAACTGGGTATCAATCGAAAAGGTTTTGAAAAGATTTGTTTCTTAGCTGAACTATAGGAGAGTTGCCACCTGTTTAAAAAATCATTTTAGGTAAGTGACATATATGTATAACCATATGGGTGCAAAACGAAAGGGGTTTCAGAAAGTAGTAGTTTGAAAATATTATGAAGAGGGTTGCCACCTGCTTGAAATGTTGAATTTAGTTTACTTATACACAAGTTATACGAAATATCAAAATAGATATGGATGTCAAACGAAGGAGTGTTAAGAAATCTTTGGTATGAACGCTAAGTATATATTTGAGGTGTTGGAAGAGGGTTGCTACCTGTTTAAAAAATGAAATTCAAATTATTTTATAAGTTAAATGAGCTATTAAAATATGGGCATCAATCGGAGGGGGTTTGAAAAATTTGTATTTCTGAACTGTATTTAGCGGGGTTACCACATGTTTGAAAATTAAAATTCCACTTAATTCATTAGTTAATTAGAATGTGTATCGCAGTGTCCGGTGAAGGAGAGTTAACAATGATTAATCTTGAAACTACTTTTCAGGAGGGCTGCCTGCTGCTTGAAAGGTCTAACTCAATTAAACAATTCAAAAAGTATATGAAATATGAAAATACTGTAGTCAAACGAAATAAGGTTAAGAAATCTTTAGTTTGAAAATTTCGAATGTTTGAAGAGAGTTACCACTTGTTTAAAAAGTTACATTCAAATTTATTTGGAAGGGTTGGCATTTGTTCGAACATTAATGTACGTGAAAGATTTCCCTATGCGCAAAATGTCACAACATTTGTATGGTAATACGACGGCCAGCGGCACATCATTTTGATTGATTTTTATATTAAAGGATGCACGTCACCAAGTGTGGCGATGCACATTCACATGCCTATCAGGCTAATCTTAACTAGGTATTTATAACAGCAATCAACAGTTTTTTTGTTAGAGAAGATAAGCTTTACGGCATGTTAATAATAAAAATGTATTAATGGTGCACAGCAAAAATAGTTGTTGTAAATTTAAGTAGATGTCATTTTCACTGATAAAGACAAAGTAGGAATATATATTTATAACCAATAAAATACGATAACCATTTAAAATATATAAAAACTTTTATATTAAAAAACGATATATTAAAAGACTTCACTGAAATGCATACATATATACGTGCGTAAAGTGTGTACTCAGCTTTAGAAGCATCGATGCATAGAGGCATACAAGTGCACTTCAAAATTAGAAGCAAAGGCAACATCGAAACAAAAACACCAACCAACTGCAGATTCGCATTATAAATAACGCCAACTATTTATGTGTTGTAGTATATTAATATTTTCCACATGAACGAACTGAAGTACCGGCGATAACGAGCAAGTGTTCTGCAACTGATAAAGTAAAAGTCAATAGGACAAGGTCAAATGCAGACAGAGGTAGCTACAGCCGCAACTAACAAGGCTTTTCTAGCTCTGTACTTCTTCACACACGAAAAACTCTTACGCATACACAACGCACAACGCTATTATGAGTATATTTTGATACTGCACATTTGCATGTGTTAATAGGATATGAAATTCCACGTGACACTTTGGTTTATACATACATATATATATATATATATATATATATATATATATATATATATATACACCCCGGGTTATAATTATAACCGCACCATATGTTAACAAGCTTAGACTATTTATTTTATTTTATTTTTTTCTATTGAACCTTAATTTTTTTAGTAAAAATATAGTTTTTCTTTAACAAAAACCATATAAATCTAAGTTTCAAGCTTTTGGCAAATTTAAAAAAAAAAAACACATACATAAAGTTTTTTAATTAGATTTCTTAGAAATATTTGTATTATGTAATTGTATGAACCGTTCGACTTCAGTATAATTAAATGCGGGTTTAAAGTAGCTAGGACTTTTGGTAATTTTTTTGTTGAAGTTGTCACTCATTTGCCGTCAGCAAAAAAAAAACTTAAAAAAACGACGGTAAGTCCCAGCAACTTAAAACTTGCACTTTATAATACTAAAATTAAATGGACTAAAAAATGGCATACTCAAAAGTTTTCTGAGCGATCTAATTAAAAAGTTAAAATTTGTTTATTTTTTTTTTTTTAATCTTCTATCACGTTGTTATTTGTTACGTAAAAAAAAATGCAGTTTTCCCAGTTAAGCGTTATATAAGCCACAATATTGGATGCAGATAACGTTTCTAAAAACCATTCAGGGTCAGTGCATTCTCTATAAAAAAAAAAGTGCTGCCAACTTCACCACGTAAATAAAAGTCTCATCTTTCCTCAACGCACACATCCAAGGCCACAAGGCACTTTGTTGTAATTATTTCACTTTAATGTGATGCTTTTTATGACATTTTCTCGCCGCCGGTGATGAATGGTGGCCCGCACACATTTCCAGTAAAAAAAAACATTCCGCTTGAAAGCACACATTTTTCATTGGAAGCTTACATAAATATAAGCGAGTTGATTTTTATTTTTATTTTTTTTTTGCTTTGTACTTTAATAATTAAACTCTCGTCTGTCCATTTTGTGTTATCTGCTCTTTTCTTACACTCGTTTTCTTTTTAAATAAATAATAATTTTGTGCTCATTTTTCTTGTTTGCACTTTCTACTTACCCAGATTTGCAGCTTGACGCGCTTATCGTGTCGAAACACAGTTTTCACTTTGAAATCAATGCCAACCGTTGACACAAAAGCTGAGGTAAAACTGTCATCGGCATAACGAAAGAGAAAACTTGTCTTGCCTACGCTCGAATTGCCGATTATCAGTAGCTTAAACATATAGTCGAAATTTTGATCGGCTGCATCCTTTTGCCACTTGGGATCCCCACTGCCAGCCATCTGGAAAATGTGTAAAGTAAAGACAGCATTTATTTTAAGAATTTATGTAGGTGCATTAAAGCGTACAAAAAAGGAAAGGAGTTGATATCTATAACAAAATTACTTTAAAGAAATAATAAACCAAATTATTTTTCACACAATCCACTTCAATAGTTTTCAATGATTACGCTTTCAATCACTTTACCACTCTCCTCATTTTACTCATATACTAGAACTATCCCAGCAAAAAACACGATTACCACAGAAACGAAAGTGGAAACGAGCTAGGCGATGGGAATCGCTTACCCTTTCGCTTCAAGAAGGCCTTATTTTAACATGGGCATGTCATTGGAGGTAAGCTCTTACCCGCAGCATTACCTTCAAACGAAGGGAGAACGCATGGATAAACAGAATCCAGAGAAGCGAACAAAGAATGCCTTACAGAGAAACTAATGTAGAATGCTTAGATAAGTACATACTTATTTATATTAANTACCTGCACATACATCCTACACATTGCTCCCATTTTTATCAAGCGCATCGCATTTGTACCAAGGATGTTCGCGCATCAATGTCATCGTTAAAACTAGTCATAAATACTAATCATACACAGGCGGACACACATACATTATAGATGCTGTTATTTCATTAAACCTTTCCGCATTTATATGCCCACATACATATTTCTTATTTTCATTAAGTATGCCTGCACTTAAGAGCTCGCTCGCTTTCTTTCTTCCTTACTCACTTACGCATTAGCTAAGCACACAAAATAAGTAGTAATACCCGTACCATTGCGGCGAATGCACAAATCAACAGCGTAGGCAGGCAGGCATAGGCTTTCACTTGATTTGCTGTGGCCTGAATGTGTAAACCTGTTGCTTCGATTTACTTTCTTGAATGCACACAAGTAGTTATGTATACTTACATACATATGTATGTACATAAATACGTGTTTGCAAGTATGTACAAGCAGCCCCATAGCAAAAACTGTAACTAGTTTCAAGAACTACAAACTGCGTAAAAATACTCTCCAACTGCAAACACTATACTTTTCTTGGAGCCAAGACAGAAACTGGTGGATACAACTTTACTCGCATGTATGCATGTATACATATTTTCCATGCTTTTTGATTCAAATCAATCCATTCTTCTTACATATATACGCTCCGATTTTGGATCTTAATTCGTTTATTTATTTAAATAACAATCCATAAGGTATTACATTTCATACAGATTAAAAAGAATTAAAAATTAAAAGTACAAACTAATTCATTCGGTTAATAGATTAATGCGTAAGAGTAGGCAAAAACAGGAGAATTTGAGAGCAAGTTGAATTCCTTTAAAGCTCTGAATTTGAGCCAATCCCAGGAGTTATTTTTTAGCGTCACTTCCTTCTCTCGGCAGAAAAACTACTCTAAAGCATTTTTCTTGCATACATGTATTTAATTTAATGGAGTTCCAGAAACAAGAAATATTTTATATGGAAATCTTCATTTAAAAATATTATTTAAGGGGGTTGCCAGCTGTTTGGAAATTTAAGATAAAAGTAATTAAGAAGTTTAATTAAGTATTTTAATCTGGGTGTCAAACGAAAGTTATGGGAAATATTTGTATCTCAGTGCTAAGCCAGAGAGGTTTAAGAAAGCTTTAATTTATGTGTTAAATTAAATATTTTATATTAAAACAAATCAACGGATGGTCTAAGAAATCTTCATTTCGGGAACATTTTGAAGAGGGTTGCCACTTGTTTAGAAATTAAAAATTAGTTTAATTAACCAGTTTAATCAAATATTTAATATGGCTGTCAAAGGACGGAGGTTTAAGAAGGGTTTTTTATCGATAATATTTATGACGAAGGATGCCACTTGGTTAGAAATTCAAAACGCACATAATTAACAAGGTAAATGAAATATTATAATATGGGGGTCAAACGAGAGTGATTTAAAGGCCTAAGCTTTACTTTTACAATACTTTTAGAAGGGTTGCACCAGTTTAAAATTTCCAGTTCTTTTTAAAGGAATGTTAAATGGTGCAGTACTTACAATGCGGGAGTCTTAGGAAAAAAGATAGAAGAAAGTTTTCTCCGAAATAAAATTTTGCTTAGTCAATTTGTTAAATGAACGTAATATATCTACATCAAATTCGTTTGAAAGCATTTTATAATAGATATGCCACATTTTCAAAATATATTAAATAAACTTTTTCGTTTTACGTTAAGTAAAAAAAATTGCATTGATATGAAACTAAAATTGTATTAAGTATTACATATGAGGAGAATCTACGAAAGATAAGTGGTTCTTTATACTGAAACGGATGAACCCTTTAGCAATCGCCGCAGATAAAAGCTATTTAATAATAAAACCATTTTTTTTGTTTCCCTTTTATCTTTTTACTAAAATATTCATTTACAATTTTACTCTATAAAAATCTCGCAATAAGTTTTAAATTCCTTTTTAACTCCAGATATATGGGCTTTCGAAGCTGATGATCGAAAAATCGACCGGCGGCCGCATATGGGTTAACTGTCACTACATTTATCGAGTAGATTCTGCCTTTTAAACTATACTTTCGTTATGCAGTACTTTCTTTAGGTACTCGTATATGTATATGCAGTTAGAATTTCTTTCATTGTGGAAAATTTTGGTTTTTAAATTATTGAGTTCCAAGTACAAAAGGTAACTTCATTTTCGTCATAATTATAATTTTACGTGTTTGGCCTATCAAAGCTAAACTTAATTTTTCCACATGAAAAAAACTCCTTCCGCGTATTAAGTGATTTACTTTTCACACTATGCTACATCCTATCCATCTCCAGCTTCTAGGTGAGAAACAAAGGTACAGCCATCAGGCGATCTCAAATTCAATTCAATTGAGGATAACCTTTTATTCAATTTAATTCAATTGCATCAACTATAACTTCAATTACGCTAAACAGCTTGCATAACGACGCTTTTCATCCATCAATTAGAGCAGACTGACGCCATAAGCCATAAAAATAAAAGAAAACATTTGCACATGCATATGTATGTATGTGCGCAAAGTAAGTAGACTCATTTCCTACAGTCACCATAGTGCAATCGAATCCAATCTTAAGCACACTCGCGCCAATAGCATACGAGCAAAGCGATTTACAAGTAATTCTTGCAATTGCGTGTGTTTGTACTTTTATACATACATATATTGGTAGATATGTAATATGGTATGCGTGTGTATGCATTTAGCTATTCTTGTGCCTATACAATGAAATGAGAATTTGTTGCGCATACGCCGTGGCGAACACAGTTGGACAACAGAGTCTGCAATTGCACATCAACGCGCAGTAGTGGCATTAACAAAGCCAATCGAGCAAACGTTGTGAAAGAAGAATAAGTAAAAAGTGAACAATAGCTATTGGCTTTTTATCCTTTTTAGTTTCGCTGAATGCCTGCGCAACCATTGCGTGGGTATTTTATTTTAATTCTTGATAGTCTTTACCACTGCTACATAGGTCACAAAGTTCGAACTGGAGCGCACTCCTCCAATGGACGTGCTTGACAAATTGCTGGCGGCACAAAACTCCGTATAAAGTGCATTTGGTTAGCGTTTGGTTGTGTGGCAGTGCAAGTCTCGAAGGTTACTAAGCTGCTCGCATTAGCCTTGGGTCGCGTCGTCTACAAAAGTTACTCATACGCCAGGGCCAGCGTGGGTCGCGTCAAATGGTTGGCCTCCAATTGTAACACAGCAACTGTTCAAGGATTGTGGTTGTATGTACACATTTACATACATTTGTATGCGTTGAGTATCATAGCACTTGGCTGTATGTATACGCAGCTAAGCGTCTGTTTGCTTACTTGCTTTTGGGATTTTCTTCATTGTTTAGCTGGGAAAATTCCAACCAACCTGATGACATCTTCAGCACGCTTAATACGACATTGTGCTCTTGCTTGTCACAATTGTCTAATGCTGTTCGCTTGCTGAAATGTTTGTACTCCAAGGTGGTATATTGTGTAGTCAGACAGCTCCAGCTGCGGGTCACTGCCATTGTATGGGGCGACCTTTGGTCGTACATACTCACATCATCAAGATTAATTGTGCCCTTTGGTTGCTCTTCACAAAAAATTATACTTGTTATTTTCTGATATTTATTCTATCAGGCTATTTTCGTGAATGAATTTTCAACAAAATTATCTTACTGCTGGTGTTTTTGAAAGTCCTTGAAAGTGTCTGCTTACTTGTGTATAATTTTTCCCACTTATTTATCTTTATATTGTAACGAATTCACAACTTATCTTAGTCGGCGGAATTATCAATTTACAGCTTTCAATTTCTGCATTAAACGCAAACTTCCTGTTCTCAATTTCTTTTTATAAGATGCCGTTGGTTATGGGCCACATTCCGTGGTCACTATTCTGCTTTGCTCAAATTTCCTGTTTCTGCGATTTAAAATTTCTTTTTGTTCATCCTACCAATATTAAATGTTTCTTGCTCTTTTATGCTAAAATGGTTAAACGTATTTCAACCAAGGTTGCCACACAAACAGGTTAAAACCTGGAGTCAAAAAGTTAAAAACAGTTAAACAAAACAATACAACAGTGTAGGTGGCAAACAAACGGGATTCTAAAACTATGTTTGAGAAGCTTGCCACCTATTTAGAAAATTGAAATTAACTTAATTAACAAGTAAAAAAAAATATTTTAGTATGGATATAACACGAAGGAAATTTAAGAAAATTTTGTTTCAAAAATATTTTTAAAAGGAGCTGTTTAGAGACTCAAAATTTAAGTAATAAATTAAATCAAATACCTTAATATGGATATCAAACGAGAGAGATTTTACGAAAGCTGTGTCTATTTTGAAAATGTTTTTGACAAGGGTTGCCATCAGTTTAGGAATTTAATTGGCAGACAAAATGAAATGCTACTGATAAGTATTTAGATGTTAAATTTCCTAAGTGAGCGTGTAAGTATGTTTTTTGGTCTTTATTTGTATAAAATTGGACATAATTGGACGAAAGTTTACATTATGTATGCCAAACGAACGGAATTTAAAAAGCTATTTTAAGAGGATTGATTAAAAAGTCAAATTAATTTATTTATTTAGTTGAATGAAGAATTACAAGATGGTTGATAAACCAATGAGTTTTAAGAAAGCTTTATTCTGAATTTATTTTGAAGAGTGTTCGAAAGTCAAAACCCATAAGTTCAATAAAGTAATACAATATATATCAATCGAAAGAAATAGAGAAGATATTTTTGAAAAAACGGGTTGCCAACTGTCAAAAGTGCATATTAAATTTTAACAATAAGTAAATTTTAAGAGTATTTAATACAAAATGATTTCAGGTCAAACTAGAGATGTTTAAGAAGGCTTTCATTTCGAAATCAAGTAACTAAAACGTTACAAAAGCAATTTAGAATAGGGTGATATCTATTTAAAAAAAAAAAAATCAAAGATATTACAAATGTAATTTGCATAGCACCATCATTCTTATGCGAAAACTGTTAAAGAATAACAAAAGCGAATTCGAATTCAACATCCGTGATCTGATAACACCGTGCGAGAGTGAATTTTGCACACACAAAAAATAAAATAAAATCGCGTTTTTAGTTTTTCTCTCCGACGTCAGGATCCTTTTAAAGGTCTTTAAAATTTCGCAGAAATGCTTAATTCAAAAAGTTATTTAAAATATTCTTCAAAAATATGGGAATCAAATAAAAGAGAAAATTCTCTAGAATTAAAACAGATGAAATTTTTTGGTGCATAAGGACGAATAGGTATTGAAAATATTTCTTTAAAATTTTATCCTTTAATATGCGAAGAAGAAGTGAAATATTTATCCTATAACTTCAGCCTTTAAAGTTTAATAGCTTAAAAAAATTAATTCGTTCTTTTGAACCTAAAACTGAATTTTTAATCTTCTATTTTTGATTCGGTAGGTACACATATTAGTTGCGTTCCAGATGCTTCACGATTTGCAGGTTTTTACAGGTTTTTTTCGTGTATTTCGAACTTTTTTTTGGTTTGTCGAAAGCTGCAATTACAACTTCTATACTCCAGCCTGACTCTGATCGAAATGGAAGCATGGCACGCTCTTATTATCACAGCGCTCTTAGTTGTAGCTGTAGTCATGAATCCCTTGAAATGTTAAATTTAGGGGGCTGTGAGTAGGATAACAAACTAACTACATCTACTGGTCTCTGGGGATGCAAATGTGTAAATATATATATGTACATCCTCATATATAGTACATATGTATAAATACGCATCTTTATTTGTGCTATGAGTGCCGATTTGCAAATACTGATAAATTTTCATTGTACACATTTGCAGCGGTGAAACACATCTGTCCAAATTAAAGCAAAATATTACTTGAAATGCATTCACGCTTTCACTCGCTCCATCCGCCAAATGTCATACCCTGTATACCCACTTGTTTCCGGTTATTATGATGGTGGCTCTGCACTTCTGGCCACCTCAACGAGCTCATATTTTTTTCGTTGTTGCTCGTTGTGTATAGCAACCCTCAAATGTCCCATGCTTGTCAGCATTACACTCACTCAAACTCGTGAGTGTAACCTGTAGGAAAAATCTGGACAACTAAGAATAAATTTTCATTTGAAATGAGAACTAGTTGCAATAACACTGGCGGTTTCCTACAGAGTTCGAAAATATACAACTACACATTTGTATTCAAAAGAAAGTAAAAAAAAACGAACAAGTAATTGAGTGCAGTTACACATACATAAATATGTATGTATGTGTGGGTGTAAGTGCATTTGCTGCGTGCTCATGCATTCTGTTGATGTCATCGTCGCTTATGGCACGCAGGGAAGCGTTAACTGGGTTGACTGTGGGCAACAAGAGGCGGCTGCAGCTTCAATGTGAAGCGATTGTATAAGCGCATATGCATGTGTGTATATGTGTGCACTGTGCATGTTAATGGCGACATGTATACGAATAAATATACAGACGTTTTGATTTTTGTTGTTGTCTACTTGCAAGTTTGGCGGCAACTTGGCCAAAAGATAAGTATGCAGGAGGAGATTTGAGTTTGCACACTTTTGAAGAACTTTACCATCCTGCATACGAGTATTTCACTATTTTTAAATTATTTTCAAATCCTTGTAAAAGCAAATATGCTGCATGCTTAAAAAATATGCAAGCAGACAACCCGTGTAGTTGTGTATTCTGCTCAAAGCACGTGCGATCTTTTCATTTTCAACTTTTCGAGTATGCTTCAGATGATGTAAATGTAATTAGTTTTATTTGAATCTTTCGAATGAGTTTGCCAAAGCAATTTGATTGCAAAGTTTGTGTGAAACTTTGAATTCTATTTAAATTATAAGACTGGAGGAAATATTTATAAATAGTTTAATTCTTTTCACCTAAACGTTTAAATGACCTACTCGAGCTCGATGAAAGGTGAAATTTAAGCTCAGCATAAAGTAAAGAAATGGAAAAAGGATTACATAATTAAGTGATAAGCAGTGAATTTTGAAGTTATGTTTAAAAATAAGCTCTTGCAAGCCGTTGTGGGTACTACTTACCTACCTAATTTCAGTTTTTATCACCCTAATGTCAGTGAATTGAAGCTCACCAAAAATCATTAAACTCTTGCTTAGGAATTATTTGCATTATTCCAGTAGAACTATTAAAAAAAGTAGGTACCACCGAAAACTGTAATAACCCATTCCTAGGTTCTCCAAAAAAAAAAAATTTTTTTCGAAATTGCCTTGAAAATATATTTAAGATTCAGGCGTGTACAGCGAACTTCTTTTTCTCGTACGGTCTAATGTACGTTTGGTACATTTGATTCTACTGGACCAATTTTGAAACCAAGGATGGTAAAAGTATTTTGATATATTTAAGTTGATGAGTAGAGTTTTTATTATATCAATATCAACGTTTAAAAATTTACGTATTTTTGCATACTTATAGTTGTTGTTGCAAGCTATTCAGTTAGAGTTGTTTTTGCATATTGTTTACTTTGTATTTTGTAATAAAGATAAATATAAATATGAAGGAGGAAATGATATAAATCGATGGAGATCGAAACGAAAATGTATTGAAATTTTTTCATAAGAATCGAAATATGTATGTATATCTTCCCATCTACAAAAATTGTATCGAAAGTTATCGAGTCCTTGAATTTCAATAATTATCCGAATATATCTAGTTATCAATCTTAGTCAGATAAATAGTCTTAAAAATAAGCTTTTTAGAATTCTATATCTTATTTTTATTACTGATAATATGAATTTTTCTTTACATGAATGCCTTGAGCCCTTGTCGTGTCCTGGTCTTCACCATATTGCACTTATTCTACACTTGCAATTCTATGAATTTAAAAATATTGCGATGGATAACCAATCCCTTAGCTTTTGCTTTAATAATAATTGTGATTTTAATGCCATTAATTCTCAGGCTTCTTTGGTGAACTGGGACTGGGTTTTTTCCGGGGTCAATGTAGATTTATGTTTTGATACTTTTAAGTTCAGAGTAAATGAAATTTGCTTAAGTATAATGCCGCCAAGAAATAAGAGCTTTTATAGAATTCCTTGGTATACCAAAGAATTAAAAAAGCTTAAAAATTTAAGGAATAAGTTCTATAAAAAAAATTTAAGTATCAAACTCTTTATCACATAAGGAAAAATATTTGGATTATTCGAGAGAGTTTAAATCCTTGAGTAAAATTCTTCATAGAAATTATGTTCAGAAATTTGAGCTTGAACTTAAATCGAACCCCAAGGCCTTTTGGCGGTACGTCAAATCAAAAAAAGATTGCCCAAGCATTCCGTCGGAGGTTTTCTATAATGGAATACATGCGAATTCCTCTGACAGTTATTTGAATGTGAATACCTCAATTGATTTTGGTGCGCTCTCCATTACGCTTGATGACGTGGTTAATGGCATCCAAAATTTTAAATCCTCAAAGCAGGCAGATACTGATGGTCTGTCCGCATGTCTTCTCCAAAACTGCCCGCTTTTGCTTACCCTCTTCTACTAATGCTCAACGAATCCCTTAAATATGGTGAATTTATTGATGCTTGGAAGATTACCTTCATCACTCCCATTCACATAAGTGGTAATAAGATCAATATTGCCAACTACACACTCATATCAAAGTTATCTACAGTCTCTAAGTTATTTGAGTACATTGTAAAACAAAAGATGAACTTAGCAACCAAACGGCTGATTTCAGTTAATCAACATGGCTTTATGTCTGGTCGATCAACTGTTACAAATCTAACCATTTTCTCCGAATTTTGTCCGCCTGCTTTTAATAATCGCATGCAAGTTGACACTGTCTATACCGACTTCACCAAAGTTTTTGACAAAGTTAGTCATTCCCTCCTAATTACCAAATTATCTAGTTTAGGTTTTCACTCTACCTTTCTGAAGTGGGTAAAAAAGTCTTACCTTTCGTCACGAAAGTGTGTTGTCGTAATGGATGGATCTCTATCTTTTACTGCGACCTCTGGAGTACCTGAGCGTAGCATCTTAGGTCCCCTTCTCTTTGTGATTTTTATTAATGACATATGGGTATTTCCATACGTCGCATACGTGACAGTCGTACGTTTCAATGTGATACAAACAAGGAATACCATTCGTTTTCTTTAACTTTTTTGTTCCATTGTATAGCACATAATTAGCTCTATATTTAACCGAAAAATGAAAACAATCGAACTGCTTGGTCCTGAAATATAAGCATCTAAAGAGAGTGTCGTTACGTGACAAAAAATGGAAGTACATTTTTTCTTTTCTTACAAAGTCGCAAAACTCTGCGAAATGGGTGGATGGCTATTTTCATGAAACTTATTTTAATATGATTTAGAGCAATTCTAGTTGTTTTTGGAGTTTTTTGAATTATTGAAACTTGTTTAAATTTTCTTTTACAACCCCAAGTGTGAAACGTTATTATATATATTTCCATCGTTATATTTTTGTTAATATTGCTTTTAAATGAATTTTTAACGCAAATAAAACATGTATTTTATGTAGAATATACTTTATATTTTGACTTCAGCGCTAATTCAGGGTGAATTTGTTGGAAATCTATGACTTAATATGTTTCAACTACATACGCCAAATTCGAACCAAATCGGGCCATAAATACGGTTTTTCGAAATATCTCAACCTTGGCACCACCTAGGAAGACTATTTTACGCAAACATGATTCTACTTACATAGCCAGTATATATTTTAAAAAGCAGACAAATCGGCTCGTAAATACGTTAGATATAAGATTTTAATTTTTTTTTTGTGGTGGTGGACCTTCCGATGGAAACACCCATATCTAACTGCTTTAACCATTCTGGATATCTTTTATATGCCGACGACTTAAAAATGTTCACTACGGTTACAAATCAGCCTGTCAAGCTTCAGGCCGATCTAAATAATGTTCTTGTCTGGTGCCACACAAATCAACTACAGTTAAATATAAAGAAGTGTTTTCATATCGCATTTTATAAGTCTTGTTCCCCGACCCCCACTTCTTATTATATCTCTGGCTTATGTCTAAGCACTCGTAATGAAATTTCTAATCTTGGGGTGGTTTTCGGCTCCAAATTTCTTTTTAATAGTCATCTAAACTATACTATAGCAAAGCACTATTCTATACTAGCTTTTATTCGCCGTTTCAGCTCTGAGTTTACTGACCCGTACACTCTGAAACTACTCTTTACTTCTCTCGTCCGCTCTAAAGTAGAATATGCTGTCCTTATCTGGAGGCAATACCACAATTCCGATATTGAAGGGGTTGAGCGAATACAAAGAAAATTCGTACGTTTCGCACTCCGTTCACTTCAGTTTGTTGATCCGATTCCTTCTTACACTGCCAGATGTCAGTTAATCGATCTGAAATCTCTAAATAGCCGAAGGTCCATTCTTTCGCTTACTTTTGTATATGATGTTAATCGAGGGGCGATTGACTCTCCATTCCTACTTGAATACATCTACTTTAATATCCCCACAAGAGACCTGCGTAATCATGAATTTTTTTTCTATATCGCGTTAGAACACTTTACGCTTCTAACGCACCTATTTATAGAGCATTACAACAATTTAATCTTCTCTCGTATTCATCAGATATCGATTTCTCTATGTCAAAACCTAGATTTGAATAATCGTTAAATGAAATTGTTAAATAAAGTTAAATTGAATTAGTCTCTGTATAGTCTGTAAGAAAATGTACATTTTCTAGATTATTGTTAAATAAATAAATAATCCAAATTGTTCAAGGTTTATTGACTTATTGAAACTTATCGAGAAACAGAAAATTACGATGACAAAGACAAATACGTATTTGCGAAAATATACGATGAGCAACCGTAGACGAATTCGAAGACCAAGGCGACTACTGAGACGAACGCAAAGACGAAGACGGATGCGAGCACAAGTAGGTAGACGAACATGAAAATGAGTAGAAAAGCGAAGAGGAACACGAATGCGAACAAGACACGTATGCGAAGGCGAGTGGGAAGATGAATACAAATAATAAACCGAAACAAATACGAAGATGAAGACAAATACGAATACAGATAAAACAACGCAAATAAATACGCAGCCGTATATAAACACAAATACGGAGAAGAAAACAAAAACGAACATAAATATGAAGACGAATACGAGGACGAATAGGAAGTCGAATTCGAATACGTAGCCGAACCGAAGGCTGAAGGCTAATATGCACACAATACGAATACTAATACGGATACATTCCGAGGACGAATACGACAACAGCGACCAAAATATGAACACGAAGAGGAATGCGCAGACAAATAAATGTACAATATTTATGAGGAAAGCGAAAATGAAAAAATCTTCGGGGTCCTTAAAAACCCAGAAAGCGACCGAACTTCGACAATAGCTGATACTCATTGTATATAATAATTTACTACTATCTAAAAATGTAAATAATTATATCTGTAATATAATACACACTTAAGCCTTTTAAATCATCTCCCAAAGGTCAGTTAAAAAAATAACTATTTGGCCGGAAACTTTACAGCAAATGGTTTAAATTTCTTGACACTTAAGCATGCATATACGAGAAAGTAGATCTGTATATGCTTGTACAAATATGTTCATATGTAATCAGGGGCGCACCCAGGAATATATTTTAGGGGGGGTTTTATATTTCTGAATATATATAACCGGAAAATACTGAAAATTTGCTTCAGATAATACGCTCTTTAAAATACATTCATGCAAGTTTTATGTACAGTATGTAATAAATAAATAAACGTTTTAAAATCCATAAACTGCACTTTATTTACATAAGATTAACAGAACTCAAACACTTTTAACCGACTTCAAAAAAAGGAGGTTATCAATACGCCGGAATACATAACTTTTGACCACGTGAACCGATTTCAATAATCGTTTTTTTTTATTGGAAAGATGGTACCTCAAGGGTCGTCCCGTAATTTGGTTTAGAGATCCGATGATTGGATCATGAAGAAATTAACGGTACCCCTAAATTTGAAGTCGGTTGTGTTCTTTCCTTAAAAACTACTTGTTTAAAGATGCGCTCAACTTTTAAAAGTACCTATTAATAAATTTTAAAAGAGTCAGTAAAAATAAATTTATTGATTCCATAAATTTTTGCACTTTTATGCTCATTTTTTCGATTTCTGGTTTCTGGTTTTCGATCGAGATGGTGAGTTTTCACGATTGCTAAATTTTTTTAACATTTCGAATACCGAAAAAATTAACTTAACTCTCAAGAAAAACGAAAAATTCATATAAAACGACGGACGGGAAATGGAAAAGAAATTTTCTTCTACCAAGATTTCTTAAATCAGTTTGCAGCTCTCAAGAAAAAAAATGCTCGTATATTTATTTCCTCATAGAAATTTACAGCAAAAGCAAAGCGCTTTTTCAGGCAACAGAAACTATAATAAATAGTTCTTATAATTTCCTTGAGAGCTGGATTCTTAGCTTTAAGATACAGTTTGTATTTGAGGTTATTAGCTTTAGGGGGGGTTTGAACCCCAAAACCCACCCCTTGTGTGCGCTAATGTATGTAATACATACTATTATGTATGCAGAGCACATTTGCAGATACTCATATTGCCTATGTATACGCAATGTCGCACTGCAAAGCGCAAAGAATGTACAGAAAATGGTCATTTTGATTTCGTAAAAGGCCCTACACACGCTCTGATTTATAGGACAAACAATTGGCTATGAACCTCTAGAAGTGGATTGTAAATAAGACGTGTGTAGGCAAGTCGGTCAACCTTCGTAAATTTGTTCGTCAGGATGAAGAAATATCAAAAATGTTAGATTTTTCAGGCAGATTGGCCAACTTGTTGCTCTTTGTGTAACTAGACAATTTAGTAACTCACAATGGGATTAAATTAATTTTTTTAAGTGCGCATTGACGTTCACATGCATTTTCTCGGCACGTTTTGTTAGTGGGAGTAGGTATAATAAGTGAAAATGGCGGCGGTGCCAAGAAAAAATGGCGAAGAATGGCAAGCATTCTTAGCATTTTTTAAAAGTTTATCGGAGCTCTGGACTTGTTTACAATTCAAAATTTTTTACCCAAATTAAATCGGACAACCGATTAACGCGTTTATAGAGAACTGCACTAAGTCAGTTGGTCAACTGGTTGGCCGATAAATCAATGCGTGTATAGGGCCTTTAATAATTTACACATCGTTGCTTCATATAAATATATAAATATTAAAGCACTGCGAAGCTGGAAATTCTAAACCAAAGTCTAATAAGCATAAATATGTATTGTGTACACAAACACACTATTTACATACATACATACAAGTACATGCTTATGTACATATGTACGTTAAAGCATCGGCATTTGCATACAAAAGTTTCGTAATAAAAGCTGGATACGTACTGACATGCGCACACCCATAAGGAAGAATGGACAACAAAAGACGCTCCTATTTCTTGCTTCATATTTCAAAATGACTTGGTTTAGAAATCCGAGTTTTTAGTTTAATAAGAGTTAACAAGCTATGTACCAACTAACTGACCTAATTTGCTTTTCTTTCTACTTCTTTTTGAACGTGCACATACACATGCACTCGTTACTAGGTATCACATACATACATACATACATATGTACAATAGTACAATATGTGTTGGTAAATACAAAAGTACTTAGGCAGCTGGTAAGTGGAAGATATTGCAACTATTTTTGTATGCAATGTAGCTTACTGCCAGTGCCAAGAGTATGAATGTACAATAATCTATGTTGATGACCTTGCAGTGCTTTTTAAAATCTAACAGCCGACAAGAAACAGCTCCAACCTGTGAAGATTTGCATAAATGGTATTCGTACTTCTGTGAGGTGGTATTCAAGTGGATTTATTGCGTGCACAGAGTTGTGTACACTTTTGTGGTAGACCAGGTAATCCAGCTTTTATTGGTTATAATGGACCATAAAAATGTTTACGAAGCAAAAGTAAATGCATCTAAAGACTTTTAATTTGTATTTATGAAGAGCTTTGGATATTTTTAGAAATATGTAGGTGTAGTGCGAAAATTTAGCAATCAATATTAGGATATTGACAACACAAGTTAGGCGTACATACATATGGCAGCCGCCGTGTTGTAGTGGGTAGGTGTACGCGTCACCACTCCGCAGAACCTGGGTTCAAGCACTGGTCAAAGCAACATCGTAAAAAAATATTCTTCTACCATTTTTTCAAATTATTGTTGCTTTTCCACAATAAGTTTTCATTAAAAAACGGCCTCAAGCTCAATAAAAATTGTTGAATATAGTTAAAAATTATCAAAAAAATAAAAATCCAAAAACGCGATTATTTCTGATCGAAAAAATTTAATTCCCCAATAATGATTGGAGATGATCGAAAAAACAAAATTAAATAGTAACTATAAAAATGATCGAAGAAATAAAAATCACAAACTAACGACTAAATTATCGGGGGGGGGGGAATGTGGTTTTAATACATATACATATATATGTAGGTCTATCATAGTCAGGTATTTTGCCATGAGGAGTGACCAATCAGTAATCACACGAGTTTCCTGCAGTCTTATCTTCTCAATGAAATTAAATAACTGATTCGGAGCAACATGAGTTTGTCGATCTGTAGACTCTTGAATCCACCACGACGTTGCTGACTCAAATATTTCCCCAGTTTTCAATGGAGGTTTCAATTTCCTAAGGTGAATGCCTAGTCTAAGCTCTCGCCCGCCTAGTGGTCAAGCGAGTCATTACCATAAACTCTCGAAGGCTCAGAGTAAAATATGTTTTTGATGGCTTCTAACATAATTTAGGGGCATTTAGGTTGTCGAACTAGTCTCTAAGTGAATGGAGGAGGGCTGACCAATACCTTGATTGCAGTTTGGCTATTACTACAGGCTGTAATAATAGATACAGACACGTAAATAAACTCTCTACCGTTTTTTCCTTTGAGTAGTTATACTGGCTTTAAGTTGAGTTTCGTGCTGCTTTTCGTGTAGACATGCAGTATTAATTCACAAGTTATACTCTCAATGTGCAAAGCATGTCCAGTGGAAAGTCTTACGTATAAGATTACAAAAATAAACAGAGTTGGAGGAGCGGCATCGAGACCACAGAGGCAATGATTATTTACCCTACTCACGTTTATGGAGATCAAGCAATAACTTTT